GTTACAACTGAGGAAAATTATACTGAGAGGTGCCCAGCCCTGGGGAACAGCTGCCTGAGGACGTGCCCTCTCATTGCACCAGAGAGAAGGTTCGGTGCTCAAACTGAGGCCAATGCAACCGACATTTGCAGGGGCTGCAGGCAATTTTTGTTACTAGCCTGGATGTACACACTCAGGTCTCCACCTTAAAAACTGACCTTGTGTCACAAATCATCTTAGTGGGGAGACAGAGTAAATACCTAGTTTGTATAAGAATGATCTTGAACAGAAAATCAGCATTCTCTATGAAATGTTCCAAGAAATGGGACTTAAGATAAACCTTTCCAATGAAAGCAGTGATCGCACATAATCTGAATCTATCATAAAAATTAAGAACACGGAATTAGTAAATACTAAACACTTCAAATATCTCAAAGTATAAATCAGTTATAATAAATTTAGATAAGAAAACTGAACATAGAATAGGTTGCGACAAGGAGGAAATGAGAACCCCAGTCTATTTCATCTCTTTATAGACTATACCCTATGCATTTACAAACACAGAGATGAAGAGATGGCCACTGATCATTTAAGCATTCCCTGACACACTCAAAATGAATCTATCAGTAGAAGATAACAATCCTGTTTTCCCTCCCGAGATCAATGTATGATGATGACAGACATTCATAGTTTGGATAAGAATGATCTAGAACAGAAAATCAGCATCCTCTAAGAAATATTCCAAGAAATACGACACAAAATAAATCGTTCCAAAACAGAAACTGTAATCTGGTATGGGAATGAAAGCAGTGAGGGCACATACTCTGAATCCATCATAAAAATTAAGAACATGGAATTAGTAAATACTAAACATTTCAAATGAAATTATTGAAATGATTAGATGTAACCGTAAGTCCTATGCTAACAGTTTCTTCTATCTTACTTCTCACTTGTGGAACTCTCTTCCAGCTTCTTGCTTTCCAGTCAATTTTGATCTTCAAAAATTTAAATGCAGTGTCAATCATTCTCTTCTGTCTTCTTAATCCTTGTTCTTTTATTGTCCTTAATATTAGTATCTCTTATATTCTCTAACACTCTTGTGTTCTAGTAACTTTATTGTCTTGCTTGGGATGAAATGATTAAAAATATACTTTGGTATATAGATCAGTTATAATAAATTTAATATAGGAAATAAATTGAATATAGAATAGGCTGTGTTTACAGGTAGTTTTGCCAAACACTTCAAATTATTACAAAACAAAAAGGTTAATCTGAAAACTCATATTCTTAAATAACCTCATCAGATCAAGACTTTTATATGGATGCTATACATGTCATCATACCAATATAGAAATATCTAAACTCTCAGCTGTATACAACTGCTTTCTAAGATCAATACTTAAAAATGGCTTTGAGCAAGTGAAGCCTGTGGGTCTTGGTGAAGACCATCCTTCTTAAAACCTTATGGTGCTACAGAATCACAAACAAAGAACTGTACCAAATAACAGAAACTACATTGTCTGAGAACTTTTAACAGCAGCAATAACTGCAATGGAATATTACATGTAATGCAAAGAAAAAACAATGACATAATCAAGATGTTGACCATCTACACTACTTCAAAGAAAAGGTTAAGGAAGCGACTGTCAATACTGGAAAGACTGATAATATCTACAAGACTTGAGAAAACTGTTTTCCTAAAAAATTGTTTTAACAGAAAAATTTTATAATTTTCAATCAAAAGCAATGAATGCCAAATGTTTCCTTATAAGGAAACAGCTAATATTACCATTACTATTATTTAATGGTTTTGTTATACAAACTTGGAATTAATTTTAAGAATCTATATAAAAATTTTATTGTCTCTCATATGTAGTAAATTTCACATTTTCATTATTGCCTTCTATGTTGCATGTCCCTTCAAGATGTGTGTGATCATGGCTCTTCACAACTTCCTATCCTTTGTAACTCTAAGCAATGTTTGTCTTTTACTATCCCTCCCTGTTCTACCATCCATTTACATAAGTTCATTTGGTAGGTTACTTACTGTTTTCCCATGCTTTCAGTATGCCCTATGAGTGTCAAATGTTCCAAGCCTTCCTTCCACATTATGTGTCATAGAAATTTCAATTGTCCCTTTCTGATTCTACAGTGTGCGATGGATAAATTGTCATCTAAATTATGCATAAATGAAAATAACACTGACATCTCATTTTAACAGATATATTTACCAAAATGACACAAAAATATATTGAAATGCGAAAGAGTAAATTTATTCAATAAAATGGCCATTGGCTTTAACAACGGTTTCCAGATGACTTTGGAACCTCCTGCAACTCTTCTGAACAAGCTCATTGTTTAAGTTGGTGAATGCTGCCATAATCCTTGTTTTCAGTTCATCTTTGATGTCACAAGAAGTTTTGTTGGTCTCTTACTCACCTGTGCCCCACACATAATAATCAAGGGCATTGCAGTCTCAGGAGTTAAGTGACCAGATGTAAGGTGTGACATAGTTGCAGAAATTGTCTGACAGCCATGACTGGGTTCTCTTGCTTTTGTTGCATGGTGTAGAGTTCTGCTACCAGACTTAGGGTCTTCCAGCAACTACCCTATTGACCCAGAGCAGCACAACTTTCTCAAGGCCCTTGATGTAATCCTCTGTGTTGAGTTTGAGGCCCTCACCAACAAATTCAGGAGTTTATTTCTTATCAGAATGAGTTTTCCCAGCTGCTCTATCTTTTTAATCAACTCTTTCTGAATCCTCCACACTGTCCTCAGATTGACACCCAAACACTCTGAAATGTTCATATTGGAGCGAATGTCATTTCTAAATCTCTGGTGGTACTCTTTCTCTCACAAATGGTGCCCAACTGACCCTACTATACTGTACAGTTGACAAAATCAAAAACAATCAATGCACATGTCTGAAATTAAAAATATAAAATATCAAAAATATTTCATGTAAATATGTGTCATTTTTGTTTCCATATTTCTTAAAACTTCTGTATTCTGTCCTGTATTCACTGCCATAGAGGGGGATCAATATTACACTGGAGTTCAGCACTCTTTTCTTTGTTTTTAAAAACTTCTCCTGCTTCTTAAGTCTCTGTTTAGCTTTTGTTACAAATTTAATTGTAAATAGATTATCCAAATTTCCAAGACTCTTATTAAGATGTGGTAGTAAATCTTTAATGTCAGGGAAGATAAAATGAAAAATAAATTAAATACTGGACATACAGATATGAACAAATAAACTAATGGATAAAAAGAAGTAAAAGTAAAAGAAAATGCAAAATTATTTTGTTCACTTTAATGGCATGTTCATAAATATCACAAAAACTATTCATTGAAAAAAATTGTTAGCCTACAAGAAATAAAAAATAGTATCCAATCTTTCTCTGCAACTCATGTATGCATGTTATGAATGATAGTCATGAAGAGATTCTTTTTGAAGCCAGCAGTGATTATGTTTGCTTAAGCTTTGGAGATGAAGATTTCTATCTGATGTCTCTCTGTGGTTATGTGGATTGACTTAGTGTTTAATGATATAAAATATGGAATTGGCAAACCATGTTCAAATTCTAACTAGGGCTGTTAATATTTATTTTATATGAGTAACATTGGAAAAGGCAACACTTGGATGCAGGAGGTAATAGGGAGTGAAATTGATGTAATGGAATAACTTGTCACCCCCATGAGTGACTACACTATAGGTAGTAACTAACTATAGATATCGGTAAGTCAACAGACTACAGAGACTAGCTGGGATCTGTTGAGTACGACTCAGATTTACGAGAGAACTACTGACTTTCCAATAATAGTATTCACTACTGGATTGACTTGCAACAACCTTGTGCATAACTGTTACAATTCTTATTGCACTGGTTTTTTTTACAATAAATCTTTACTTATTGTATCCATCTTGTTTTTCAAGTATATATAACATGGAATATAACAGAAAGCAAATGAGAAACCTATAGTGTGGAAAAGACAGAAAAGCAACAGGGTTTGGGAAGATCACAGGAGATGTCAATTTCATGTTGCATTTAAATTTTTGAAGATTGTAGGTAGCAGGAAAGCAAGAAATTGGTAGGGAATTCCTCAGGTGAGAAGTGTGAGAAAAGAAACTGTTAGAAGTGACATTTGCATCTAGCTTATTCAACATTAAAATAGTAAAACCTAGTTGCCAATCTAGTTGCATGTTTAAATTCATGTAGTCAAGGCACTGAGGATAAAAGCTCATCAGAACAGTTAACATGAAAATATTTCTAGAAAAGATAGAGGGAAGCCATATCATGTCAGTTTGACAGAGATAAAAGTGAGCAAGCTCTTAGCCAAATTACTCTCCAACAGATATTACCCATAGAGTGAAAACTTGGTAGAAGTCAGAATAGCATATCTGCAGGCAGAAAATAGAAAATTGTTCTTTGAAAAATCATTTCAAAGTAATTTTTAATAAGTTTATAGAGGTGTATGAAGTAGTATTCAATTGTAGGGAGGTGGATCAGCTTATGATCAGCCCTGATTGAGACAACAGGAGAAGGAGTCTGATGTAGAAAACTGGAAGCCCCAATAATCCTGGTTATAAAATATCACTTATGACACTCCGCTGTGTATTAGAAACTTATATTTTATGAACAGTACAAATGTGTAATATTTGTTTTTATTTGATGATTGTAAAATAGAGGTTTTCTTTCTCCAGGTAAATAGAGAAATCAATTCTCCATAGATTACTTTGGCAAGGAAGAAAACACATGCATATATACAAGGTCTGCTGTGGCAACTGAAATAGTTGTATATTTCTTGCTGCCATCGGTAGTTGATATTGAAACCTAGGAAAAAAAAATTGGATGTTGATTTTCAAGGCAAGCAAGCAGAAAAAGTATTCAGGCAAGTGGGTTTTATCCTTTAAGAAGATTAATACAAGAAAACCTTCTTACCCTCATTATCCTAAAGTTAAGCTTAATAAATCCACATATATAAAATGCAACATGTATCCAGATACATGAGACTTATGGCTACATCAAATTGAAACACTGGTTCCCATACGATCATCAAAGTTCAGCAACATCAAGCATGATCAGTACTTAGATGGGTAACCATTTGGAAATACTAGGTCCTGTAAGCTTGGATGTATGGGTTGTGTAATGGATAATGACTCGGAATTGTTAATTGAAGAGTCGAGTTCCAATTCCAGTCAGGTTTGTTGTTATATTCACTTATGTGAAAATACTCTTGGGGAAAAATATGAATCTATCTCTTCTCTCCTCCAGGCTATGGGTAAATTAGTAAGGCTTGTATCACTAAACCATTATTATCTCCAAAAATAAGAAATAAAATTGTGTACAAAAAATATTTAGATTTAAATGGTACTAACTGGTTGATATACCACTAAAAAAACAACCAACCAGATATACAATGAAGTGCTGAAAAGTTCTCGGCTTTGTACATTTCTCAAAATCTAACCCTGCCCAGTTTTTGTGGCCACTGTCTTGCAGGGAACACATTACTCTTGATCATTCTCACTTGCAATGGGGAGATGATAGTGCAGAGATTAGGTATGGGAAAGGCATGAATCAGTTTTCTTTCTCCCAACAATGGGTTAAATAGCAAGATAAGCTGGGCTCTTCAGCCTTGGGTGACTGCTAGTCTAGAAGAAGGTCAAATCTGAATTGAACACTGTAGAGCAGGCAATGGGAAACTATTCAACTATCTTTCCCGAGAAATCATGGCAATTTGCAGATAATAAAAGGAATCTGTGGTGAGGAATGATGTCTTGAAAGGATATAGCATTAAAAAATACAGATGTGAAAACATCAACAAAAGTAGTGATCAAAACAACAATAATAAAGATGCTAGTCTTAATAATTGATGAAATAATGACTATAGTTCATATAAGACCTTCAGACAATATGAGGAAGAGTAGAGAGCACATAGGGTTCACATTGACTTAAAAAATACAATATTTTAACTGTTTTCATTGCAAAGTCCTCATGAGACAGGTTTTATTTCAACAAATTCAGAGAATGAAAGTAGTATTTTGAAAATGTTTTTTTTAAGCATTTCACCACAAGCATGGCGATATTACCATTAAGATGCAAGGGGTTAGAGAATGTGAGAGAATATGGGGGAAAAAAGATGAAAGTTGACTGAAAAGCAAGAAGCTCAAAGAAAGAAGCTTCTTCTACAAACAAGAAGTGTGAGAGAAGAAACTCTTAGCATAGAACTTATGCTTACATTTAGCCATTTCAACATTCAACTTGCAATTCTTTACAAAGAAAATCTGAATTTTCTGATCCATGACAGACCATGAAGAAAAATGGTTTTGGCTAAGTTTGTTGAATAATTTGAAATCAGAGGATGAGACTGTGTTTATTTTCCAACACCATCAGGTTGCCTTTCTGTGTCTTTTCTATAAATTTTTTCATAATAATTGTTTGGATGAGTTCTTCATTATGGTACCTTGAGTTTTTGAATTTAAGTATAGCACTAGACTGGCATTGAGATCTCCTCAATTTACAGTTGAGCTGGCTAGATGTAACTGTAAATTCTATGCTAGCAGTTACTTTTCTCACACTTCTCACTTTTGGAACTCCCTTTAGGCTCCATGCATTCCAGCTTTAATCTCCAAAAATTTAAATACATTGTCAATCACTCTCTACTGTCCTCTCTTTCCTCTTTCTGCTCATTATTAATGTTTCTGTTCTTGATTCTTTTACACCCTGTAACCCCTTGCGTCTTAGTGGCTTTACTGCCTTGCATGAGGTGATATCAATTAAAAAAAAAATTATTCCCTGTCAGATGAGGTAAAAACTAAACACTGTCCCTTTCAAACCACAGAAAAAAAATGGCAACCTACTGCAGGAAAAATAATCTGCCTCGTCAGTCATGTATCGAAAGATACATGATCGCCTAAGCATGTATCACACATGGCACATAACTGACAGCTAGGACCTGTCATCTTACTTACACTGGGTTGATTGCTCCTCATTCCTTTTGTATTTCATTGGTAAGGAGAAAGTTCCACTCAAAGAGTTTCTTCCCTAGAATTATTACTTTGCAGAACAGACACCAGAATGGATGCTTCTCTAATCACTATAATCACTTCAAGTCAAGAGTCAACCATTATCAATCCTACACATCCCTGTAATATGCACTTCTTATTTTTACCCCGTATAACAACCTCATTCAGTAATCCTCTACCTTGAGTGGCTCTTGGGCTTTGTGTTAAGTGAACAATAGTAAAAAAAAAAATGAGGAACGTGGAGAGAGTGGAAATATGTACTCCAGTTGTCAACTTAATTCTGGATACCAAAATGTTAGAATTTGGTTATTATTTAGAAACTAATAACTTTATTTATTTCTAAAGAAAGAATAGATTTAGGTGAAATCTAAGGAATTCTTTACTCTTCAAAGGTATGCATTTCTGTAACATTTATTAAATTATATCCTATTTATTTATTTAACTCATTTCTGATGTAATCAACTAACAATCAAGGCTGACTTGACATTTCAGATTGTCTCAGATACAATTAAAGAAAGAGTGAAGATTTAGTGAAGTGTATGTATTTTTTTTTTACAGTAAGGTTCACTCTGCACAAAGCCTGTGGGCCACTCAAGGTAGCGGGGGTTACATTAATGGGTAGTTTATATGGATAGGAGGGGAAGATGACAGTTAACTCTAGACTTGAACAGGTTAAGGTTGTAGTGATCGGGGAAACATCTGCTTGGGAGTCTGTTCCACGGCGCAGTGGTTTGTGGGAAGAAGCAGTTTGAGTAGAACTCACCAATAGAATAGAGGGAGTTTGGGTGGTTTGCTACTATGTGAGTGGCATAGCAATCCTACCTGTGAAGGTTAAACTTGGCAGAACCATGAAATATAGATTGTCTGAGCACTTTCCATGGATTTAGTGAAAGACTTGCCACATCACACCTGTGAGAGAGAGTTTGTAGGGTTGAAAATAATTCTTCTCAAACAAGGACTTGGAGATGCTTTTGAACTCTATCAAGACTGGAAAGTGAAGACTAGGCAGCTCCCGCCCAAATATAGCAATAATACTTTAGTGATTAGCTACTTCAATAATTAAATGTGTAAAGTTTCTTACAGGAACATTTTATAGCACATGGAATAATGGTGGTGTAGATAGTATGTACACAAAATAACAGACCAATGGATTTGCAATGCAAAATAACATTTATTAAAATAAAATGAAAGTTTAAAACAAGAGTTTCTTTTGTTAGACTTAAATTGTATACACAACAAAATGTTCACTAATATAGTGGGAGCGTACTTTATTGGTGTGTTTATGATGAAGTATTCGCAGCCCTTGTAATTTCAGCATGAAAAGTTCATGTCAGCAGTTCAAAAGAAGAAAAACATCAGAAGAGAGAGAAAATTACTTTTTGGTTCATGTGTTTTATATTCTGCTGCTGACATAAATTTTATTTTAAAGTTTTATTTTAAATATCATTAATGTCACTACAGTAAACAATTTTCGGTTTGATCTGGCTCTTATAAAGGTACAGGATATCATAAGGAGTCAGGTACTTAGTGAAGCAATACAGGGAGCCAATCATTTTACCTGCATCTTTAGCAATGGATCATATATAAGAGTTCCACTTGAGATTGAGTGTGAGTTTGAGTCACAATATTCTCTCAAGGCACTGTGCCTACTCAAAAGTACATCTGTTCATTGTGTCTGGTAGTAGTTCACAAATATTAAAATTGTCCTTGTGTGATATTGTTAATCTTTAAAGTGTAAACAAACAATGTTCACTACATACATACATACATATATATATATATATATATATATATATATAATTAGTTTCTATTGTTCCATGTTAACTTCATTTGTGCTTTCTTTTGCCATTCTTAAAAATTTCATTCTTTACTTCAGACATCTCTGAAGGAACTCAACATAAGTAAAAAAATTTAAAAAGATCAACAAAACAGATTTTCTATAAAATTTTCATAGTTGAAATTGATTTTCTCATTGTTGATAAGAAAAGAATAAAGGTGATCTTGGATTATGGATCCCGAATCTTGAATCAGGAATCCTACTCTCAATTTGAGCACCAATCATATTTTAACAAGTATATTTTTATGGAATGGGATTGCTATTTTTTCTAGTGTGAATGAAAGAGTGGATTCCACTCCCAGTTTCAGAATTGTTTTTCTTGTAGGCTGGTTTATAACCAAGGCTGGAGAACATTTTACCTACAGTTTAGAGCAGAAAGATATTCGCATCTTTCCCAAGCTGAAATTGAAACATGATTCACCAATTCCTTTTTCTCTGCTGTTTACTATTAGGCCAACTCTGAACCTCCAGTTTGTGTGAAAATCTTTTAAATTTTAAACAGATAAAAAGAAGAGAAAGGTTGATTGTATGCATTTTTTGAAATTTCCTAAAATCTATCTTTTCTTCCAATTACAAGATTTGTTTTGTTATGACTGAAGGCTGAGTTTGAGTTGGCCCATGCTATCATGATTTATATAAGAAGCAACGTCCTAATGTACAACAAAAGGCAACTCCTACTCACTGGAAAATAAAGAAGGAGGCCCTACAAAAGATGAGGCAAGAAGGAGACTTGATTATGTTGAGTGTTGACTTCAAGCAGTTTCTCACTGTTTTTTTTGTGAAGCATTCACTTCCATCAACAAAGATGAATCATTTGGGGCTTCTTGTTGCATGTTTCTCTTCATATCTTTGCATAATTGGCAGGTTATAGACAATGTAGCTTGACAACATAAGAATTGAGTTTTTATCTGAATCAAGGTCATTGTTTTATTTATTAGTAGTAACATTTTGTATTTGAATATGAGAGAGAAAGAGAACAAAAAAGAAACCATTGTGAATCAGTGCAGAAAAAAAAGGCAAATGAAATAAGCACAAATATGCTTTTTAATTTTGTAGATTATTTAAAAAAAAACTATTGATCACTAAAAGTTATTGAAACTAGCATCTTTATCTTTGTTATTTTGATTCACCTATGTGTTTTCTTACCTTCTTCAGGTGTATAGTACTTCTGATTGTTTTGTTTATTTTTGTTTCTTTTGTAAAGTTTTCAAGATATGAGCACCAAAATCTATTGAATACAGAAGCTAAAAATGGCAAAAACTCTA